AGAATTCAGGGTAGTAATAATGTTGTTGGACCTACACAATTTAATATTTACCTGGCCTTTCTGATATTTTGTGTTAGTTTAAATAGGCAAAGATGTGTTTGTGTAAATATGAAAAACTACCAGCATGCATGTCAGATCACAAAACCCCACAAATTGCTTACTTAATTTTTAAAAGTCTAATTGATTTTAAAAAGTTAATGTTGACTCCCACCATAGTAATGTTAAATACTGCTGTCACAGGTAGTTATAAAAACTTGTGTTCATTCTACCCAAAATGGTAAACAAAGCCCTAGAGTAAAAATCTAGATAGAAAGAAAAATCAAGTGAAGCCATTTGAGTCACGATGTTCACTGCATTCTCTCTTTTATTTTATGGCATTTTCATGTAAAACATTGCATATTTTCACACTCACAAGAAAGATGGAAATATTGTGAGTTATTTGAAAATTAAAAAATGTAAGATGATGCTATCTTGTAACTCCTTTGGGCTACATCAAATACATTTTAAAGGGACACTTAAAACAATTCACGGACAAATTGGATACTAAAGTCACAGAATTAACTTCACAACCCAAGCAAGTTTAACCATATATGAACCATACTTATCATGTTTTTAATATTGTATTTAAGTACTTATCCAGGACAAAGATTTTCTACAGCCCAGCAACACATTTCACGTGAGCAAGATTTTCAGTTGCTTCAAACAATGAGACACACACTGTGAAAACCAGAGGTCACCAGGCATCAACAAGAGTCTGAACTGGAATACCAGCTCTCATAAAAAAATTGAAAAGAGGTACAGGTAACTTCAAATTCTGAGCAAAAGTATTTTTGTTTCTTTCTTATGTTTTTATATTATGAATACAAAGTCCTAATTTTTAAGAAGAAAACGTGAAGGAAAATTGACATCATCAAATTGAACTCAAACTGTAATATCTCAAAATGTAAAGTAAACCACAGACCTGATCAATCTAAAGTACTGTCAATGCCTACATTAACATTTTATTCTTAAGAGCTAAATTAAAGAGCTTGCCTTACTAATAAAATAGCTGTAAAAATTATATTTTAAACTCACACCCTAAAATCAGCACAAGGGGCTACATCCACACAAATCACTATTATATGAGAGTTCAAGTTTTGCCTCTCTAAAACATTCTCTGCAAAGGAAAATGAATCTTGTGAAAACTCTCCCCGTTCCCTAAAACTTGGGTGAAGTGTTTACATGTTCTCTCTCAAGCAGGTGATTCACATTCACTGCTTACTGGTTCATATGGCCAAACTCTTGGCTATACTGCCCGCTGGCAGGTAACCATTCCCTGCTTCTTTCCTACACACAACTCATCAGGTGAGCTTGATCCAAGACACATATTATGCAAAGCAACTTAATTGGGCTATATTTTTTGAGAAGACAAAGGGTAAAGGAATTACATACTGGGCAGCTTTGTGGTGCCCACAAAATTCAAATACTTCAGTAGAGACAACTGGACTTGAGTAAACACACCCTTACATAATACACCATGTTTTTCCACAGTTACCAGCATAATATGGCCTTAATATGTTCCCTCTGATGCACAAATTACAAAACAAATCTCCATCAATGAAGGATTAAGATGGAGCAGGTCAATTCCTGTTAACTTTAGCAAGTATCAATCCACACTTTGCCAAAAATAATAAAAAAATCCTTTTTGATAGAGCACGCATGTTTCAATTTCAGTGTTAAAGCTCTTCTGCTGTTTCTACGCTGGACTATGGAGCTAAGATAATGACTAACTAGTCAGATAAAAATTTATCTTGATTCCTTTCACAACATCAAGGAAGAAAATACAGTGAACACTTGCCTTGTTTATATTTAATAACTTTGTAAAATCTCTAGCCCTTATGATTTATAGAACTGGACCCCATCAGTCACCCAGGAAATATTTTGTAAAAATTGTACGGTCTTTCATAAAAGTAATGAAAGACAATATAAAAGTTATAAAAGAAATCAAGAAAGTTTTGTTTTACATCAAATACATGAATCATCAAGGTAGCATAACTAAACCAAACTAAAGAATAATTTTTAAAAAGTAAGTAAAACTACTGTGGGGGGCACTCCACAGGCTCCTAAAGTAATGTTAGAGGGCTGTAAAGAGAAAGTTATTTGTCTTAAAATCTGTATCACTACTAAATAAAGTGTTCTGCTTACATTTTGTAGAGAGCTATGTAATGAAAAAAACAGACAAACAAAACCCCTAAATAACTACCAGAGTCTAAATGTGAAACCCCCATCTTTATTCAAAGTTCTCAGAATTTCAGCCATAAATTGCAATTAAGAGTATGATTTCACCCATAGGAAATCAGTATTTTCACATCCACTTATTTTAATTAGCAAGTAAATGTCTATTAGTTAATTTGTATGTAGTTTGAGAATGTCTGCCCAAGCACATCCCTATGTCACAAATACCTTTAAATTGGTGCCCCATGAGTGTTGGTTCTATTGTGCCCTCACTGAAGTTTTTGCATTTCATCAGGGATCTCTCTTTAAAGACTCATGGTTAGGTGCAGTCCTTTTCCCACATTTGGCATGCAATGTATCTGAAGTGCATCTTCAGCTAACACACACTGACTTTCATGACACCGATTACATGGCTAATGTCATCCAAAAATAACACATCTGTAATTCACATTGCAAGACCAAGGGTCTTAAACAGCTCATCACCATCCATATTGTTAAAAACCCAGAAACTGCCTCTTCCCTCATTCGGAGAAAGAACATAACCTTTGTCACATTTTAGAATGTGCCAAAATTTACCCCAGAGTTGCCTAAGTCACCATTTTTTCCTTTACAGCTGTCTTTAAGTAAGGATGATTAGACCTTGAATGTCTCCTGTTAAATACTGTGTTAGTTTCGTGAGCTCAGAAGGCCTCATTCCATATATCAGCTATTAATTACAGAATTAGTAATGCTTAGCAAAGGATGCACAACTGATTACTATCCAAGTATTTATTTTTATATTTGTCCT